CACAGAACTTTGTATATGACTAGGGAATGTCTACTTTTGTGGTCTCTCTTGACTCAATTAAGATTAGAAAGAGACTTATTGCTTCAGAACAATAATTAGCAAGCCTGTATTTTCGTATCATCCTTCGATTGCAGTCACTTGTCCATACGGCAACATTGAGCCAACCCGGCCAGGATCTGAAATTTCTCTTTTCGCAGTTCAACGACACAAGTTCGCTGTCTCAAGTGACATTTATTTTAACCTCGCTTTAAATACACGAGATTAGTAATTCTTGATAAGCAAGGAGGGCAGCTTCTTATCTGCGGTTACTTCACTTTATTTCCCTATTGGTTAGCAGTTTTGTTTTGTTTTTTTTCCAAGTTTTACATACCGATGGCGCTGTTAATTTTTCTACGTTAGGTCAATAACAAGAGACAATGACAATCGCCATAACCGTGAAATTATGCGGCCTCCCCACAAAAAGAAATCGTTATATTTTTACAAATTTATCACCAAATATAAGGCCCAAGAGCCGCTCCTCATAGAAGAATTAATAAAAGTAGGAGGATTCGTCAGAGTTCGCGTGAAATGATGGGTCTTACATGTAAAGGTCTGAACTGTTGTAACTCAGTAAAGTAGCGTGTCAGAATATTTGCCATGGCTTAACGATAAGCTAGCGACATTTTGTCTGTGGAACATGATTTGCAGCGTAGAAAGTAATTTATCACCCCCAGGAAGGTTGAGATGCTTTTGAACTCTATCGGCTAGAATGTAAAGATTGGTCAGATCTAGCACGGATATAGAAAAAGTCGTCAGTTAGAAAATAAATATTTTGAAATTCGTCTAACATGGGAAATTTGTGTTGAATCACCCGTATCAAGTTAAGGAATGTTTAACCAGTTTAATCGGAACCTGGTCAAAAAGTAAGTTCATAAAAAATGTACAATAAAAAAAAAAACCCTACGCCGTTTCAAAAACAAAACAAAAAAAAACTGAAAATTTATTCTCCTGGAAGAGTGCAGAAGTCCTGTTATTAATAAAGAAAGAGCAATGATATGTTTGTATTACTTGAATCTTTTGTTCCACTTCAGCAGCCCACTTCTTGGGTGAACGGCAGGAAATGGAATATTAAAAAGAGTTAATTTACGATGTGACTTGTTAGCTCATCCCTTACGAAGATCGTTCAAAAAGTTCTAAACCACACCAGAAAGGGTTGGAGAAATAAAACAGTTTTTCAGTAGTGTTCCCCTTGACATAAATGCGCTTGGTCCAATTATGCTTACGCATTGCAGTCCGAATACGAAAGAAGGTAGCATCGTGGTTCTCCAGAAACTCCTCCACAGCACATATGATCTCTTCAATGATTCCAACAGGAAACAGGAAGAAGTCAGATGGAGCTGTGTCTGGTAAGGGGGATAGGGTAGCAATTCAAAGCCACAGTTAGCGGGTTCAGCCTCTGCAACCTGAGTAGCGTGAACGAGCGCATTATTCTGGAGTAAGAACACACCTGTCACCAGCTTTCCTTTGACTTTCGACTTGATTGCTTCCTTCGGTTGTCTTAATTCTGATGCATAATACTCTCTATAATTAGATTATCCCATTTCCAGATAATCTATCATGATTACACCTTCAGAATTCCAAGAGCAGACGCCATCATTTTGCCAACAGATGCTGCCTGCTTGCACTGTTTGCTTTGAATCTTTGATTCAGGTTCCAAGTGGTGAACCCAGATATTATCTTGTGTCACTAATCCGAGGTGGAAACGAGCCAGAAATGTCATAGAAAACTCATCTTGGCGACAGAATTCTTTAGATTCACCTCTGACCTTTGTAAGGGCCTCGCATGCACAAAAAATTAAGGCAGAAACAAGTCAGAATTGTCTCGGAAATGTCAACCCGTTTCAGATTCTGCTCTGGTGTCACTATTCTTGAAAACCACCTTGAAGACAGCTTGCTTATCGCAAAGATCTCAGTTAAAACACTATGGACCAAACCAGAACTAATGCTTAGGGACTTAAATATCTTAGGGACAGTAATTCGTCTACTATTTACATTATTCAGACTATTGTCCGCATCTTTGTCGCCATATTTATTACAAGGTTTCTCCACCGCCTTAACCAGGTATTGAACTCACACACTCTGGTTAAGGCGGTAGAGAACTTGGAGAATTAACGGGAGATAACTGATAACTGGCATACATTAGACATGGCACGTGGGACTAGAACAGTCTATCCCAGTGAGCGATATAATGAGTTCAGTTCGATATTCCAACAACCTGAAGCAGAGTGTACAGCGGCCGAAACATTGTAATAAATATGGCGACAAAGATGTGGACAATAGTCCAAATAATGTAAATAGTGTACATAATACCTCATCTCAGAAATATAGAGAGATACTGGAGAAAGCCGGAGCGTACATCGGCCGAAACGTTGTAATAAATATGGCGACAAAGATGTGGACAATAGTCCGAATAATGTAAATAGTGTACATAATACCTCATCTCAGAAATATAGAGATATACTGGAGAAAGCCGGAACGTACATCGGCTGAAACGTTGTAATAAATATGGCGACAAAGATGTGGACAATAGTCTGAATAATGTAAGTAGTGCACATAATACCTCATCTCAGAAATATAGACAGCAATTCGCCTGTCAACTAAAACCATACGTTGAATGGCATCAACTTGTTTATCAGTGGTTGAGGGTTTTGGACAACCTGACCGGGGTGGGGGCATCTTCTTTGCTGTCACTACTCCGCTTGAATTCGGCAGCCTCCTTCTCATCTGCTATGAAGGGGTGTCCTAAGCAAATGTCTGTACCATGTCCTCATGGTTTTAGTTGGTTGTTATACCTTTCTTTTGCAGTCATTTTACATTTGGGGCTCCTATTTTATCCATTTGTAGATTTGTCTCACGTATCTCACCTCTGTGTTGGCCTTTGTATGTTCAACTGTGACTCTTCTTTCTGTGTGAATGTTTCTTGGGAAACGCATCTTATATAACTTTCTCACAGACACTGTTTCTCTTGTGTTTCCAGCTTCCTTTTGAAAGATCCTCTTGAATAGTTTTAATCTCAAACTTTTAAGTTGCCTGCTTTAAAGCGATTGATACTAAGCCCACTTTCCTGTCTGACCTTGAGTCAGACTAATGCAAAATTAAACAATATCTATTTTTGAATCTGCGTTCAGAAAACGAAACCCTCATTTCTGCTTTTAAAACTAAACAAATGCACTGACCAAGTCTCGGGTGTAGGTTATTGTGTTTACGTAAATAGTCTGTACGTTTTTTTTTTTAACACAGGTGCAGTACACATGTTTACATCTTACTGTGCGAGTCTTAGCATTCCAATTAAAATTGATTTTATCTCTCAACCATTCCCGCCATTTTCCCAAACTTCAGCCATAATTGTTAATGGCGTATCAATTTGTGGCGTTGCCAAACTTGTTCAACTAAATTGAACGACGGAGATCAGGTCAAAAAATCTAAAGCGACAAGTGTCTCCAATTGCAGCTTGATATAAGGCAGACTAGTAGATAATATTTCCATATTTCTGAGAAAGTGCTAGTGGCAATGTCTGACCCATATCTTTGCCTAACTAACGAAGTGACTTGAAAACATTATAATTTTCTTACTGGAGAATGTATTATTTAAGAAACTGTTCGTTATTTTCCAGTCGGTTGTTACTCATAACGACTTGAACTTCGAGTTAGAAACCTGGCTTCATTTCTCTTCGAGGAATTTATTTTATTGTTTAATTTGATTCTTGCTTACCGAATTTTAGAGAAGATACTTTTTCAAGTTTTACAAAAAGAAAATGATATGTCAGGCTTTCTCATAGCGTTGTTCCAAACCAATTTTAAAAGTACTTGGCTTCAGCTCCATCTTCGAGTGGCTCTTGGATCTTATATAGTATGAACATCATTTAAAAAAAAAACAGCGTCTCTGATATGTTTTTCCGTCGTTCCTCGCAATCAAAATGATATAGTCTATTCTTTAAGAAGTATTGCAGTGCGTAACGTACATGTTAACCAAAGAAGGGTGATAGCACTTGTTAGGCTCCCCGTTATGGCAAATATTTGATCCCCAGCTGATTACTCCGCCAACATAACAGGGCTAGCGAAACTGCAGAAGTTTTTGGACTCCAGCCTGCATATACTACATGCCAGATTATACTGTCCTTGTGTCACAAGATACGACCATGGAAAAATCCTGGGTATGACGATGAACTACATCCAGCAGCAAGTCGTCTGATCGAGATGTTTTGACGAGTGTGGAACCACCCCTTAATTTCTGTTGTTCCCATGTCCACCCTGAAGTTAGCACCTGATTGTCCTAGATATGGGCAAATATCTAACCTCCAAACTGGGGACAAAAACCTATGAAAGTATAAAAAAAAAACATAGTAAAAATACCAGCAATACATTTTCATAGAAAAAAATATTATCAGCAATATATTTTTTGTAAAAAATAAAATCACCAGCAATACATTTATCAAAGAAATTACTTATGTTCCTACGAAAAATTCGGCATTAAATGACCCATAAGGTGTTGATATGCTCCGAAACAAACAAGCAAACCACCGTGGAAAATGCATAAATTTCCAGCTTGAGCTCGATTATTGTGTAGTAAAAATGTGTAGCATATCTGGCTTTGGGTGGGGGAAATTGCTCTATTTTGTTGCTTTCTTCGGACAGAAACACGACAAATAAACGAATTATGATTGACCCCGGGGATTCCAACTATGCGACAGCACCACCCTCATTACACCAAAGATTTAGGATCGGTAAAATATCGGCGCCAGCGCGATGTTGTGTGTGAGGGACTCGATTATATATTGTCTTAGTCCATGTACACGAGCCTGACCTCCCCGCGTTTACCGGCCTTGTCTTATATCTCGTCAACGTCGGGGACGAGTAAATATTAAGTGTAGTATCTGTTCTTTACTCCTCTCTCGTATTTCTATCTTAAAACTGTTCTCTGGTGGTCTGACCCAGGGGTTCCAATCCTTCGGCAGCATCTCCTTCAGAGAGAGAAGAGAGGGGGGCTGGAGAAAGAGGGAAAGAGAAATAGGGAGAGAGAGAGAAGGAAAGAGAGGGGGAGAGAGGAAAAGAGAGGGGGAGATGAGTGAAAGAGAGGGGAAGAGAGAGGGGGAGATGAGTGAAAGCGAGGGAAAGAGAGAGGGGGATGTGAGGGAAGAGAGGGAAAGAGAGAGGGGGAGATGAGTGAAAGAAAGAGAAAGAGAGAGGGAAGATGATGGAGAGAGAGGGGGAGATGAGTGAAAGCTAGGGAAAGAGAGAGGGGAAGATGAGTGAAAGAGAGTGAAAGAGAGAGGGGGAGATGAGGGAAAGAGAGAGGGAAAGAGAGGGAAAGAGAGAGGGGGAGATGAGCGAAAGAGAGGAAAAGAGAGAGGGGGCAATGAGGGAAAGAGGAGAGAGAGAGATGTAGAGGGGATATATATATATATATAGAGAGAGAGAGACAGCGAGAGAGGGAAGGAGAGATAGAGAAAGAAAGCTGGTGGAATCGCCAATTTATGGCCTTGGCCCATATTTAAGCCTCTGGATGTTTCATATTAAAAAAGCATTATTGCCGCGATTGGAGGGTCGTAGTAATTACAAGAAAAAAGTATAGTAAATTTTCTTTAACTCGCTACCATTTTCTGTCGTCGAGTAATATATATAAAATCTTTAAGGGATGCCACATACCAGGAATTCCAGCGTTGAGGCAAAACCTTCTTCGATGCACTATAGAGAGACGGTTGGTGGATACCAACCCCATCTTGTCCGTGGGGACTTTTTGTCCTTGGCCTGTATATAAGACCGTCTACATTAAATCGACCTTAGATTATATTTTGCCTCCATAGCGTGGTAGAGAAATATCAATGTTTTTTTTTTAATCAAGGTACTTCTGTGATCACTTGGGAATCCGATGTTTCAACATGATGTGGTCATAAGCCTAAGGTATAAATAGGCACAGATAGATAGATATTAAAACAAATATTTGAGAGGTAATGTGCATAATAAAATAAATAGTCGGATAGACAGACACCCAGAAACACAGACAGACAGATATTCAGACAGACAGACAGGCAGGCAGATATCAGGTCATCCCATAAGTTCTGTCCGAATTTTAACTTTTTGTTAAAATGAACATTTAAAGAGTATTTTATAATGACTAATGGAGCTGAACACTATTGTTATGTTTAGATGCATTTAAACTGATCAAATTTTATTTCAGAGAACAATAAAATTAAATTTTGTTTGATTAAAACCCTGCTAACATGGAAGCACCCAAGAATCATTTGAGCCACATAATGCTTTATGAGTTCAAGAAAGGAAACTCAGCAGCCGAAGCGGCTAGAAACATTCAGTCAGTTCATGGAGAGGAGTGTGTGAATAAAAGAACTTGCAGAAGATGGTTTGCAAAATTCAGAGGTGGAGATTTCACCCTTGAAGTTGAAGATCGAACCGGACGTCCAGTTGAGTTTGATGAAAAGCTTCTTGAAGCAGCCCTTGAAGAAAATCCTGCTCTATCAGTTGAGGAATTGGCAGTGGTTCTCAGTTCAAACCATACAACTGTTCATCGTCATCTTCAACAACTTGGAAATTAGTAAGCTTGTTAATAGATAGAAGGAAGTCATAGATAATCAGGGAAAATACATTGTTGATTGAATCTGTAATTAAATGTAATATTTGGTCACTTGTTTTCTTTATTCAAAGTTCGGACAGAAGTTATGGGATGACCTGATAGATAGATAGACAGACAAATAGATATATAAGAAAGACAGACTTATATTTTTTTTGGAGAGCAATATTTTCTTTCTGATATTTAAATAATAACCCCGGCATACACCTAAATTCTCTATGCCGCAAACAAATAAAATATCATTTACAGAGATTCTTTGGTTATTTCTAAAAGGGGGACACGTCTGACGATAAGCATATATATATATATATATATATATATATATATATATATATATTAGTTGGTGCAAAAATAATGACGTAATAATGTCGTTTTGACGTTAAAAAATACGTTAAAAAACGACATTATTACGTCATTATTTTGCATTAACCTAATATATATATATATATATATATATATATATATATTAGCGAAAGTATTCTTATCTGTCTCAGATCTCTCTGTTTTAAATAATAGCCTTGATCCCAAAGTTTAGACCACAAGAAGTGAACTAAGAAAAAGTAAAGCAGACAAACGCTTCGTAAAGATAAGACAATTAAATCACCGATCAAGAAACTTCGAACGCGACGCCGGGTTTTAAACTGAGGAAAGTTTTTTTTTTCTTTTTTTACAAATATAGTAAAAATAAAAATAAAATATATCTATGAAAAATGAAAAATTGTTTCATCACTAAAAACACTTTTAATTTTCATTGACCAGAGACCATTTCTAAAGCAGATAAAAGGAAGCAGATCAAATTTGTAAGGTTAATGATGACCTTTTTGCTAAACTGAATATCTTCTAATGATAATGTTAATGTAACAGATTTCGGTAAATGGTAAAGCAGACTTGGTCCTATAGCACTGGGTGGCAACCGATCTAGGAAAAGTACAACACTGAATTCAAAACCTTAGTGATTGTCTGGTGAGGAGTGTAAGTGGAACCCCAGCATCTCAAAAACAAGAGTTGTTAAGGGGCGGATCAATTCAGCAATGTCAAAGGCTATCCACCAATCCGCAGTTGATCAAGCGAGGTGAATACGACTCCGTTTCTGAAGACAGGTTCAATCATAGAGGGTTCCCTCCAAGATGAGTGAGAAAAGCATGCGCAATTAAGGAGTGGTTCCTCCAGCGGGAGTGAAGAAGACATGGTCAATTAGGGAGGGGAGCCTCTAACAGGAATCAGAGATATGGCCAATCAGAAACGGGTCTCCCAAACAGGATTGAGAAAGACATGTTCAATTAGGTTCAATCAGGGAGGGGTCCCTCCAACAGGAGTGAGAAAGACATCAATCATGCATGGGTTCCTCCAACAGGAGTGAAGACTGTTACAAATTCATGACGGTCGTCTTCGAGTATAGAATCCAGAGGTTGGCAGTGCATATTTCGGAGACAGTAGGAAAGCGTAGTTCAGGTTCGCAGTGGATATTGTAGCAGAGCATAGTTCTTCCTTCTGGTATCTTCACCTGGCAAGTTGGCACTGGTCATTCCGGTAGGATAAACAAAGATGGCCGCCTTTATACACGACGGATACAATGTTCTGCGACTTCTGATTGGTCAACCTTCTATTGGTAGACTATAAAGGGAATTAAGTCATTTTGACTAACTCACTAGTTATATACATATATACACAAAAAAACCGTAACAAAGACAACATGGGAAGTGTTCCTTCAACACGAGTGAGAATCTCGACCTTTTGATTTGGATTTGGAACCGTTGGAAGAATGGGTTGTGTGATCCTTGGCACTCTCACTCCTGTTGGAAGAACCCCTGCACAATTGATCATGTCTTTCTCATTCCTTTTGGAGGAATCCTTCGCTGACTGACCATGTTTTTTCTCAGTACTATTGGAGTAACGACTCCTTAATTTACCATGTCTATCTCACACCTGTTGGAGGAACTCCAGTTGGAGGAACCCCTCGTTGACTGACCATGTCTTCCTTAGTACTGTTGGAGGAACCCTTCCCTGACTGACTATGTCTTCCTCGGTACTGTTGGAGGAATCCTTCCCTGATTGACTATGACTTTCTCACTGCTGTTGAAGGAACGTTTCCCTAATTTATCATGTTATTCCCAGTCAGGTTGGAGGAACTCGTCCCTTAATATAAAATAATAAAAATGGTAGCACAAATTCAGTATTTGGTTAACGCTACAACACACATCGCGTCCAACAGCGGATACAACATAAGGTACCTACCCGTGTGTTTTTTAGATTGTTTTCTGTACAACGCATATGAAAAGATATTACTGTGAGTAACTCATGATGCAGGTACGTGGTGTGACCTTATGTAGTTTTGGCACAGGTTATCGTATATTGTAGCCTAACATCATTTACCGGGAGGCCTAAGTTTAGAGATACTGGTAGCCTACAGTATGTATCAGGGTCGACTTATACGTTAGGCAGAGATGTTCCTCAGCTTCGATACTTCTACATCAACAGCTTCTTTTCTTAAATGCAGCGTCAATCGCCATCTTTGGTTTTCTTGAAATCCTTTTTGTCCTTTTCTCTTCTTTCTCAGTCTTTCATTCTCTTTCACTTTTACTCCCTGTAACCCGCCTCTGCGTTCTAGTGGCTTTATCACCTTTCTTGGGGTGAAATTATCATTATTTCTATTCCAAACAACAAACTGCATGGTTTCCCCTTCAAAGTAACCCCACCTTCGAATCTAACTTACTTTTCCACCCATTTTTGTCCCGATTCTTTGTACTCCTGGAAGTATTCTTCTTGGATGCCCCACAGCTCCATTGTTACCGTCCTCTTGATGGCTTCTACGCCTTCAAAATGGGTCCCTTTGACGATCCCATTGATCTTGTGGAAAAGAAAAATGCCAAACGGAGCAGGAGTAGGTAAATGGGGAGGTTGTTCCAGTACGGCGATGTTCTTCTCATAGACGAACTGCCGGATGCTTAGGGCTTTGCGAGAAAGGGACATTGTTGTAGTGAGGCAACGACGATTTGTGCCGCCACAACTGTTGCATGTAAAACAAAAAAAAAAACAACAAAAAAAAACAATGGTTTCAGAAAGCTAAGATTACAGTTGTATACTACCAATATATCATGTCAGATGATAAAACAGTCTACTTATCTCTCTATAGCTTAGAGCTCCTATTACAATTAGTTTTCAGACAGACTTCTTATATATAAGCGTGTCTGTTTCTGTGTTGCTGTGTCTGCATGAGAGTGAGGGAGGGAGCGTATAAGAGAGATATTAAATAAGTAGATGTCATTTGCATGCAATTCTGAAGCTGAATATCTATTTTAGATAATGGCAGGCGTCCAATATGCCATGGAATGAGTCTAAAGCGAAGATTACGCCAACTACTCTCAGTTTCCAACTCTTTCCGTCACACAGCTCTCTCTCTCTCTTTCTCTCTCTCTCTGTCTTTCCCTCTATCTACCTCTCTTTGAATTAAAGTCACACTAGACGAAGAAGGATGGGCATTAGCGTAAGATTTGACGATACCGGCTTCCTCGCGTTGCTCATATACTTTCCCTTCGTCCCGAGCATCCTTAAGGTAAAAATCAATATTAATATTCATACAGGTCTTCCCCCCAGAAGTATTCAAGAACGAAAAGAATATCATTTGGACGCGAGAAGTGGGACTAAACCCTTCTAGATGTAGGTCAATATGTCTTCTCCTAAAAAATGTATGATCTTTAAACATATTCTCCTTTGTATAGACAAAGTTACATATTGACATATACGCAGAAGAAAACAGCATATAAAAAACAATAATAGAACCATTAAAACTATCAATCAAAACAAGTATAGACATCAAAAAAAAAAAAAAAAAAAAAAAAAAAAGAGCAGAAAGAGAAGAAGAACGAAATTAAATAAGACTTTTTATTTTTATTTTACAAAAATGTTCACTCTATCAGTTACGGGCCATGCGTGATACACGCTTAGACGATCATTTATCTTTCGATACATGATTGACGTGGCAGATATTTTTCTCGCAGCATGTTGCTATTTCTTTCTGTGGTGGACCAGTTGTCATCCAAGGCGATAAAACTCTGTCTGTCCTGCTATTTATCCATAGCTGGCGGGGGGGGAGAAGAAGAGGATTCATACCTTTCCTAATGGTATTAGCACGTAAGTGAATGAATGTCAAGGTAGAAAGTTACAAAGTAAGAAGATCGATTAATTGATTTATTTTGTTTTTTACGGCTTATCAACCTATTGCAGATTATTTGAACTGAAAAAGTATTTTCCAAATGTAAGAATCTTTTGGAGAGGACACTTATACTTATTATCATTGAAATTGATAAGGTACATAATGAGGAAGGAAGGCATGGATAAATAGATACTCACAGGACAGACTGAAGGCAAGAGGGAAAACGCATAACCTACTTAGAGAGCGTGAGTAATGGATGGCTGAACAGGGTTTACGAGAGATAAGAACAATACAAAATTTATTAAGAGCTGTAAAGACAGGAAATTATGGAGAGCCATGATCGCCAACGTCCTGAATGGGCAGGTCACATAGAAAAAAACAGAACAAGAACAATACTGATTTACAGATTAATGTCCTACTTATTAACCCATAGCTGGGAGGAGTGTATGTGTATTCCTACCTTTCCCGAGGGTATTTGCGTCTAAATGAATACAACAAACAAGACCGGATTTGGAACTCGTCTCGCCGATTTCAAATTGCGAGCCGTTATACATTTAAAGACATGTAAATCTAAGATTACAGCATAATTGTTAATTTCTTAAGTGTGGGGCCCACAGATGAGGACGGTTTGCTACGATGTGTGCCACTTGGTGGGTCTTATCTGTGAAGGTTAGAAATAGTGGAGCTACTGAATGTTATTCACTTGAACACTTTCCATGGAAATAATGACAGAGTAACGAGAATCTTGCTCCTTTTCGTTTGTGGGAAAGAGGTTGTAGGAAGAGAATTCATTACTCACAAGCACGGGAAGATGCTTTTAGGCGCTCCTATCTTTATATGGCTGATGTAGAAGGAAGAGAGAGAGAGAGAGAGAGAGAGAGAGAGAGAGAGAAATCAGATCAAATTATTTACCGGAAATAATCAGCTTTCGATCCCTGGTCACGTCACAATTTCAAATAATCATTTTTAAAGGAGACAGCTATGATCCACTTTTAGTCCTACCCAAACGTTTTAATTTACCAAACCTATCGGTATTTGTCTTCAAATTATTTTAGAATTTGAAGCGAAGCTACGTTATAGCGGTGGGAAAGTGATTGAAGCCGGGATGCTAGGTCAGGATCGATAACATTGCAGATTATTATTTGTATTTTAACAGTAATCTCTAAATAGATGGCAGAAGAACCAGGGTATTTTTTAAAGATATTATTTTATGAATATTCACGTCAATAATATCTGGTAACTACTTCCGAAGATCAAATGACGTAAGTTTTCTCAATACCTTGTCACTATCTAAGAATTCTTGATTGGGATACACATATAGAAATATTCCCTGAACGAATAAATTGAACAACGACGAGAAAAAGTAAATCCATCAAACGAGTTGGAATTTGAATAGTAGACAAAGCTCACATCAAAATGGCGGAAGGCTCCATTGTACATATTGTATTCGTTTCGTGTGTTGCACACATATACATGATTTATATTGAATATTTTACAAAAGTTACAGAATGAAGGAAGAGATTGGAAAAAATAAGTTTGCTGTAAAAATTAATTATGATTTCTAATAATGAAATTCAGCAAAGCGAATGTGTATTATGGACTGGTTAAATCAACAAACTTGCACTATAAATTAGCGTCCAGGCATTTTATTTACGGCATAAACGAACATAAGTAATCACATAGCAATTTTATGAAAGAGAATGAGAATTTTTTTTTGTGTCGATGAAAGAAATATAAATGATGACAAGTTTGTTATATGTCCCTGAAAAGGATATATTCGATCGAAGTAGCTAAGTGGCTTTGGCTACTGTAACCAAGTAGTACATGGTAGCAGTAATCGACTGGTACTCATGGTAGTCGCAGGTAATATGTGTTGACCAATAGAATAGGCAATGGCATAGTCCATTGGGCGTCGTCAGATACTTAAACTCCGTCGTGCCTACACGTCCGTCTGTATTTATGACTGACACCAGCCAATCATATTCCAGTGAGGGTTTACTCAGATGTATGCATATTCCATTATATCAGTTTGATATCGAGAAAATGGAGAGTGTTGGACAGATAGATAGATAGATAGATAGATAGATAGATAGATAGTAACACTGAGATAGATAGATATGAAAAGATTGACGTAGATAGATATATAGTAACACAGATAGATAGATAGATAGATAGATAGATAGATAGATAGATAGATAGATAAATAGATAGATAGATAGATAGATAGATAGATAGATAGATATGAAAAGATAACTTAGATAGATAGATTGGAAAAGATAGCCGTAGATAGATAGTAACACTGAGATAAATAGATATGGAAATATCGACAGACATAGATGAATAGATAGATAGGTAGATAAGGAAAAGATTGACGTACGTAGATAAATAGATAGACATGAAAAGACTGAAGTAGTTAGTAACACTGCAATAGAGAGATAGCTGGGAAAATATCGACAGACACAGAGAGTAAGATAGATAATGAAAAGATTGACGTACATAGAAAGATAGATAGATAGATAGATCGATAGGAACAGACTAAATAACAAAGATAGATAGATAGATAGATAGATAGATAGATAGATAGATAGATAGATAGATAGATGGGAAAAGACTGAATAACACAGACTGAACAACATAGATAGATAGATAGATAGATAGATAGATAGATAGATAGATAGATAGATAGATAGATGGGAAAAGACTGAATAACACAGACTGAACAACAGAGATAGATAGATAGATAGATAGATAGATAGATGGGAAAAGACTGAATAACACAGACTGAACAACAGAGATAGATAGATAGATAGATAGATAGATAGATAGATAGATAGATGGGAAAAGACTGAATAACACAGACTGAACAACAGAGATAGATAGATAGATAGATAGATAGATGGGAAAAGACTGAATAACACAGACTGAACAACAGAGATAGATAGATAGATAGATAGATAGATAGATAGATAGATAGATAGATAGATAGATAGATGGGAAAAGACTGAATAACACAGACTGAACAACAGAAATAGATAGATAGATAGATAGATAGATAGATAGATAGATGGGAAAAGACTGAATAACACAGACTGAACAACAGAGATAGATAGATAGATAGATAGATAGATAGATAGATAGATAGATGGGAAAAGACTGAATAACACAGACTGAACAACAGAGATAGATAGATAGATAGATAGATAGATAGATAGATGGGAAAAGACTGAATAACACAGACTGAACAACAGAGATAGATAGATAGATAGATAGATAGATAGATAGATGGGAAAAGACTGAATAACACAGACTGAACAACGGCGATGGATAGATAGATAGATAGATAGATAGATAGATAGATAGATAGATAGATAGATGGGAAAAGACTGAATAACACAGACTGAACAACGGCGATGGATAGATAGATAGATAGATAGATAGATAGATAGATAGATAGATAGATAGATAGATAGGAAAAGACTGAATAACACAGACTGAACAACGGCGATGGATAGATAGATAGATAGATAGATAGATAGATAGATAGATAGATAGATGGGAAAAGACTGAATAACACAGACTGAACAACAGAAATAGATAGATAGATAGATAGATAGATAGATAGATAGATAGATAGATAGATGGGAAAAGACTGAATAACACAGACTGAACAACAGAGATAGATAGATAGATAGATAGATAGATAGATAGATGGGAAAAGACTGAATAACACAGACTGAACAACAGAGATAGATAGATAGATAGATAGATAGATAGATAGATTGGAAAAGACTGAATAACACAGACTGAACAACAGAAATAGATAGATAGATAGATAGATAGATAGATAGATAGATAGATGGGAAAAGACTGAATAACACAGACTGAACAACAGAGATAGATAGATAGATAGATAGATAATGAACAGATAGACGGATTGATAAGGAACAGACAGACAGATAGATAGATAATGAACACTTAGGTTGATAATAGATAGATAGATAGATAGATAGATATGAAAAGATTGGTATAGATAGGGTTCATGTCAGCGCTTCTTCGCTTTTATGCCCGCAGTGGTCTATTCGGATTAATTCGACTGTCTATTGCCAAAATTCAATTTATTAAAATGTTACGTATTCCATAATCTGTTTAGATTACAAAGGCTTGGTCACAATTGCAAAGTCTTTGTTGAAAAGTGTTTACAGGACATTTATTTCGATTAAAAATATATATTACTTGCAGATACTTATCTCCAATATAAAAGACAATGATAAATGGGGTACAAGAATAAGAAAACGTGACGGGGCAAAGGAAGGTGCCTTTCAAAAGATAAACACAGTATTAAGAAACAGGAAAATTCTGTTGTGAGCAAAGATGAGAGCGTTCAGCTGTTATGTAATATCAGTTCTCCTATCTGACGGTAAATCCTGGACAATTTCCGAACATATGAGCAGGTTATTTGAAGCAAGTGAGATGTGGGCATACATAAGACTACTGAGAATAACATGGATGAAACATTTGAATAATGAGGAAGTTTTCAGGAAAATGGGATGGAAAAGGGATATTCTCCATATCAGTTAAAACTTTTTTTTTTATAATGAGAAAATTAGATTTGGAGAATTGAACACACACAAGAAGCTAAAGGAAATAGCGGGGATTATATCTAATTAATTTGTGTAGAACATGGGGAGGGGTGGTTAAGAGACAAAAATTGTTTAGTGTAACAAGAGCCAGGATGTTGGGAAGAGCCATGGTACCCATGGCCGGAAGAGAGACAGCATATAAAAGAAGTTTCAGTAAAACAGTAAACATTAACTGATATAATTGTAATGAGCCCGAGATAATAAAACATATATTTATATGTGGATAGCTAGATAGATAGATAGATAACAATTTCAGAAAAAAATAATTATAGATAGATATATAGACAGCTACCAATTACAGAAAATAATTGTAGATAGATAGATAGATAGATAGATAGATAGATAGATAGATAGCTAACAATTACAGTAAATAATTGTAGATAGATAGATAGATAACAATACCAGAATAATTGTAGAGAGATGCACAGATAGCTAACTGTTGTGACCAAGTAAATGGTTAAAGAAATAACAAAACAAGTGTTGCAGATATGTCATATATTAAACAGTAAGTGCAACAGTACAGTATTACACGTCTAGTGCGTGTGTGTTAGTTGATCCAGCTTTCAATCTATTCAACTGTTCCCCTAAGGCCTTCTCTCTTACAAATCTTATAGTAGGCGGAAGAGTCCACCATAGGGAGGACACCACAACACTAACAATTAGAGAAAATAATTGTAGATAGATAGATAAAAATGACAGAAAATAATAGTAGATAGATGGAAAAAAACAGAAAAATAATTGTAGATAGATGGATAGAGAGAGACAGCTATTACAGAAACTAATTGTAGATATATAGATAAATAAACAACTAACAATTCCAGATCAAAATAATTGTAGATAGATAGATAGACAGCTAACAATTACAAAAAATAATTGTAGATAGATAGATAGATAGATAGATAGATAGATAGATAGAATTACAGAAAATAATTGTAGATAGATAGATAGATAGATAGAT